GTCCCGTAGCTGCAGTTCCCAGCGAGCCCTCATCATGACAACACCCACCGTCGCGTAAGGAGGAGACTTCCAGCAGGCCTCTGCCCGTCGCCAGACCACCGTTCTTAGCCGTCGGAGTGTCGAGCGTAGCCGTTGAGTCCCATCGTGTTCCGTCGGAGTGTCGATCAAAGCCGGCGAGTCCCGGAGTATATCTTTATTTCCGACTTGATCAGTTGCAGAGCCACCATCATCAGCATCGCCACCTTCATCCTCGTACCTGTTGCGCCGCGCGATCGTGACCTCCTGTTGTCGGCGAGCCTTCTCCGCCACGACCTTGCAGCGATCACCATCTTAAATTGCCATCATCATCCTCTGGTTGCCGCCACGAGCCGCTGTCTTTAACCGCGGTGTTCCATTGCTGTCACCACCGCAGTTCGCTGCGTTGCCCGCTGACCATCGCACCCCGCAACGCGATCGCCGTTCCCTGCGTTTTCTCGCGCAAAGCAGCCCCGCAAGCATTGTCGTACCTTTGTTCGTATCACAGGCCCTAGCTGCTCATTGATCGTCGTTGATCGCTCGTCGCCCTCGTGTCTGCGTATTAGTCTCGCCCCTTTACTCGTTTCGTAACCCCGTCCCGAGAACGGTACCCGGGCTAAACCCTCGACTTTTTTATCTCGCATTTACATGTATTAAAGTGCTCGTATCCATGTCGTTATTGCTGAACGTGAGAGTTCGACTAATTATATGTCGTAGTTGAATATCTTGTATAATTATTGATATATATGTTGAAATTGGATACCAAAGTGATTGCCGTCACTTTGGAAAATTGTTGAAGTGAGGTTAATGTAGTATTTTCCGTGAAGTGCTAAGGATTATTGGACTTAGGAATGTCCTTGACGCAACGACTTTGGCCTTGTTGGCAAAACCTTGACCCATTGACCCCGTTTTCGTGTCAAATCTTCATTACCTGCTTTTATATGATTTATTAGTTGGTTGGTCGAGTCTAGAAGTCGTCCTAATGTTCCAACTGCACAACTTCCACGAGTTTCTTAGTCGATGTGATTCGACTAAGTATAATTCTCGTTATCTGTGTAAGAGTCGAGATAGTTGCTTATGGGACTGTCTTGACTTATGTAGCTTATGTAGGTGTCTGACGAGAAGAGTCTCAACCACCTACGAACTTCTAAATAATTTGTTTTATCAACCGATACCAGGTGGGTTTATTTGTTATATGTTATGCTTTAATTAATTGCTTTTGTTGTAGTATAATCAATGTATGCATATGAACCATGTAGCCTTCGATGTGAACTATATTGGGCGTCGAACGGTTATCCCCGTAGCTATAGAACTTACCTTCGGGTAGTCTCCTTTATTATTGTTGACAGTCAGGGCGTGAGCCTTGGCTGGTGATCCTCGTATGTAAGGCCAAGGCGAAAGTTTTGGCATTCGGGGTGGATTATTGCTCCTGCTGGCCGGGCACTCGTTGTAAGGCCTTCGAGGAAGGCATTCGGTATATAGCTCGGCAGTAGTCTATTGTTATAGGTGTGCACATGAGACCATTATTAGTTATTGACAGGAGATGGGACAACTATTGATTCGTATACATGCTACGACCATACTTAAATTGTTTTATATTTATTGATATTAATTATTGCATAGCGGTGAGCACCTCGATTTTTCTATTGTGTTCATCATCACCTGCTCTTCACGGATGCAAGTTAGTTTATGCGGCACGGCGGAAGGGATGCGAGTGGTGGTCTTTAAATTGTTTAATGCTTCCGTCTTGAAAAACTGAACTTGGATATTATTGCATTATTATTGATTATTGTTTTCTAGTATTGGAGTATTGGATTATTGATAGGGATTATTTCCCTTAGAATATTATTGGATTATGATTGATTATTGAGATTTTCATATTGATGATGAGTATTGATAATTGTCGAGTATTGAGAAATTGATTAGTATTGATTATTGTTTTGAAAAAGAGTAGCGCCTTAAGTATTGTTTTGAAATAAATTCGAATAATTTATTCTGATTTTTGGTTAAAAAAATGTGGGACTGTATTGGTATCAGAGCCAGTCTGCGTTTCTGTAGACTGGTCTAAGTATGAAAATTTGATTATGTGAATATATGCTTGATATTGTGTTATGACCACTCGCTCTCGTCGTACCGCGCCAGCTCAGGTATGAGTACCTGAATAATTTTTGAGGTTTCTATGATATGCTTATTGAATATTGATATAAAATCGGGGTTTAGGAATTTATCCTCCTGCTTTAAGCGTATTTGAACTCTAGATGAGTGGTGAACTTAATTGCATGAACTTGAACTCTAACGGTATAGAGTTAAGTTCCAACTTGAGAATTTGTTTGTTTGGGAGTTCGATATGATGTTATCGAGTTGAATTCTGTTTATAGCAGTGCCCTCGCTATAAGTCTTGGTGTCCTCAAGTGAGGACCATTCGCAATGCCATCTCGAAAGGAGAGGCTTGAATGAAGGGAGCAAACGACCGAAGAAGTCCCCATTGTATGGGTATTCGGGAGTCTGTAACTGTCGTCGATAGGACCATTAGATGCGTATATAACCCAGTAGAATGCGAACCGGGAGTAGAGTTTGAACGCTTTATTTATGTCGTTATTCTATCGCGAGGCGTGGTGGTGAAACTTGATACATAACACAGTTGTAACTCTCGAGAGTGGCTAAGTCTCGAGGAAGGCGACAGTGACCTATTCTCTTGCGAAAATTCCCTTCATCATATTAAGCCGCGAGCGATTTCCTAGCAGCAATAGGACTTACCGAGAAACAGCTTGAACCAGTGATGGAGGCAGTGAATCGTAGAGTCATGGAGGCAAAGCAGTCTTGTTTCCTTGCCTAAATTTTTGTCTTCTTATAGACTTTTGCAAACCGCTTCTTATTCCCTTTTTGTATGGCCAACGATTTTGAATTGTGCTTGAAGCTTCTTTCATTGTCCAGTATTCGTATTTTGAGAATTTCGCCTGATCATCCCCTTTACGGCGTCGAACTTTTGATGGGATTTAGCATCAATAATTATTTTTTTTTTAAATTTTGTTGGCCCTTGTCTTGTAAAGCATGTGTTGTGATACCTTTAACTCGATGCAGAAAGTTCAAGAGAGCAAGCAACGTTGCTGTTAGTGGGAATGCAATGGATACAGGAGGTTTGCAATCAGCCCAGTCCTTTTTATCGTTTTGTCTGGGGTATAGTCGTG